AAGAAAAAAAAAAAAAAAAAAAAAAAAAAAAAAAAAAAAGCTACAGTTATCAAGGCAGTGTAGTACTGCCATAACGACAGACATACAGACCAATGGAGCTGAATCGAGAGTCTAAAAATAAATCCTTATATTTATAGTCTACTGATTTTTGATGAAAGTACTTAGGCAAAAGGATAGGCTGTCAATAAATAGTGTTGGGACACCTGGATAGCCACATGCCAAAAAGGTGAATTTAGACCCTCATCTCACACCACACAAAAAAAAATGAACTCTAAATAGATTTAAAGCACGAAGGCAATAAAATTTTTAGAAGAAAACATAAGAGAATATTTTTGAGACATAAGTTAGGAGGTGGAAATTTCTTAGATATGACACCAAAAGCAAGTCAGTAAAAGAAAAAGCCGAGAAATCATACCTCATCAAAATTTAAAGTGTTTGTTTTTAAAAAGACATCCTTTAAAAATAAAAAGATATGAAACCTACTTGGGTAAAATATTTGCAAAACACATCTGATAAATAACTTATATCCAGAATATGTAAAGAATTCTTACAATTCAGTAATAAGATGAGCAACCCAATCAAAATATATGAATAGAAATTTTAGTAAAGCAGATATGCACATGGCTCATGGGCCATGAAAATATGCTCAACATCATTACTCATTAGGGAAATACAAATTTAAAAACAGAGAAATAGGGCTGGCCAGTTAGCTCAGTTAGTTAGAACATGGTGTTGATAACACCAAGGTCCAGGGTTTGATCCCTGTACTGGCCAGCTGCCAAAAAAGAAAACAAACAAACAAACAAACAAAAAACAGTGAGATGCCATTTACACTGTTATTGCCTAGAATGGCTATAATATAAGACAGACGGTAACAAATGTTGGCCAGGATGTGAAGAAATTGGAACCTTTACACATTGCTTGTAAGATTGTAAAATGGTTTAGCCACTTTGGAAAACAGTCTGGCAGTTCCTGTAAAGGTTAAGTATGGAGTTACCATATGATCCAGAAATTCCACTGGTAGGTACATGTCCAAGAGGAATGACAGTGTATGTCCATATAAAAACTTGTACACAAATGTTCATAGCATTTTCCGTAATAGCCAAGAAGCAGAAATAACCTAAATGTCTATCAACCTGGTAAATAGATAAACACTAAGTTCAGTAATGGAATGATGGGTAATTTTTTAAGAGTATTTTCTACATTTTCTTTAATGATTTAACATTAAATTTTTGAAAATACTATTTAAGGAGTGAAAGAGATAACTTACGACCTAACCAACTAAGGCCTTGCATATGCTCCATGGATCCTACCTAGGACACGTTCTTTTCTGAATGCAGATATATACTCATCTCAGAGAGCTTGTACTGTTCTAAGTACTGCCTCACAACAATTCTGTGATTTAGATAATTATTAATAAATTCATTTAACAGATAAGGAAACTGAAACATAGAAAGATTAAGTAATTTTAGGGTCACCCAGCTAGTAAGTAGTAGAGCTAAGTTTTGAATTCAATCATTCTGATTCTGTAGTCAGTATTCTTAGCCACTAGGTTATACTATAGTGATGTCTTCCTTTAAACATTTTTCTTATGCTTTGTTTTGTTTTCCTTCATAGGGGTCCAGATTTTATGAAAACGAGCTCAAGAAGGAAAAACAAGTCAATCAACGAATTGAAAATATGATACAACAAAAAACTCAAATTACCAGCCAGCAGCTAAAGAAAGCACAATTACAGGTATTAATTCAATTATTAAGTAAAGTGGAAGCTGGTAGAATAATAGTTGGCAGTCAAAATGCATTATCATCAAGTCATAAATAAAAACAAGGTGAAATGTAAATGTTCATTATATTGTAAAGGATACATATTCAGCAAATGCACGTGCTTTGCTAAGCATTGCTCTACTTATTTACATAAAGACTCCACACCTAGACATTATCACCTCCATTCTACAGAGGAGTAAATAGAGTCTTAATTAGGGTAAGTAACTTGCCCAGCTTTATAGAACAGGTAGTTGACAGAGCTATGATTTGACTCAAAGCCTATGTTCTTTTTATTATATACATTATTTATATATTTATATATATATATACATTATTATATACATTATTTGCAGCTAAAAAAAAGCCACATGATAAGTCCTTTCTGCAATGCTTATTTTGCAAAATAAAATCGGGGGGAACATATTAACTAATTAAATTAGAAAGTAACTTGAAACATAATCATGTTTTAGTAAACCAAAAACTCAACACTATATGTTAGAATGCCAAATGTACATGAATTTCTAAGATAAAACACAAGACTTCTAATAATTTGGAGGCTTTTGGCTTTTTCTCTAGGATCTTTGGGGAGTAAATACTCAAAATTGTCCTCCACTGTTAAAAGTTATTTCAGCAGAAAAGTTTGCAAGAACCCAGCTGCAGAACACCATGTGGTAGATTCACAACTCAAAGCAGTCAGATTTCTCCTAATAAAGCAAGTCATGGCCAGATGAGTTTATTCTCTATCAAAATCTGATCCAGTGTTAACAAAGCTCTAGGATATAACATAATAAAATTATAGCATTAATTTAACATGCTACAAAATCTTTCTTTTGTGATAGAGTTCAGAGATCATAAATTTTATGTTTTGTTTACCAAACTATAATGCGTCATTTTTTGGTATATGCTTTCCTAGAGCACAAGGTAATTTTTAAGTGGTCTGCTGTTGTGACAAAGGAGAGAGTTCAGAGATCATAAATTTTATGTTTTGTTTACCAAACTATAATGCGTCATTTTTTGGTGTATGCTTTCCTAGAGCACAAGGTAATTTTTAAGTGGTCTGCTGTTGTGACAAAGGAGATTTGTCTGTCCAATACCATTTTTAAGGATTCATAGCATTAAAATTATGGAGGTACCATAATTTATTTACCTTACCTATGCTGGTTCTAGTTTTTTGTTTTATACACAACCCTGTGGTGATCATTTTTTATTCCTTTATTTTTACACTGTAGTGCTGTTATTTTCACCAAAAATGGTACCATTTTACATTTTTAACATAAGAGCATTGGTTTCCTCATATACTTGTTTAAAACTAGATTTTATCAGTTTTATCAGTCTTAGTTTTTGCTTATACAGTGTCCAAAATATTCTCTCATGGTTGTTTTAATTTTTCTTCCTTTGATTTTGACAGAGAAAGAACATCTTTTCACATATTAGTTAGCCATTAATATTTTCTTATTGTGGAAATTTCCTCTTGTTTGTTAGGATATAGGCTAAGTAGCTGGCACAAGAGACCCCAAAATATAATATTTTAAATAAGAATTTATTTCTTTCTCACCTAATAGGTAAGTAGTTCCAGCTGGTGGGGTGGCTCTGATTACCATAGTAACTTAGAGACCCAGGTTCTTTAAATCATGTTCTATCATCCCCTGGTGTTATCCTTACCTGGACTGATAAAAATGGATTGTCTCCAATCTATATTCCATCTCTTGGTAAGAGAGTAAGAGTAGGGAAAAAATTGAAGGCAGGTAATTTGCTATTTAACAAGTGAAAAAGAAATTGCATGCATTACTTAAGCTCACATTCTTTTGCAAGAATTTAAGTTACATGGTCACACCTAACTGCAACAGAAGCTATAAAACATATTCTCTAGCTGGGTGGCCATGTGTCTAGATAAAATTCTGTTACTGTAGAAAGAAGAGAGAATGGATCTTGGGATTCAACTAGCAGTCCAAAGCAATATTCATTGCCACATTTCTAGGGGAGTTCATGTTTCTTGATTTATAGGATCATATTATATATTAAGGATTTTTTCTTGCCATTTGTTGTAAATATTGTTCTAATATGTTGTTTGTCTTTTTATTTTGCAGGAGTTTTTTTCCTATACAATTTAAAACGTTTATATAATCAAATCCAATGGTATTTTTTTAAACTTTATTTATTAGAGCTGTTTTAGGTTCACAGTACAGAGAGTTCCCATGTACCCCTTGTTTCCCTACAGTCATAGCCTCCCCTACTATCATCATCCCCCACCAGAGAAGTACATTTGTTACAATTGATGAACCTACAATTGATGAACCACTATCATTATCCCCCAAAGTCCATAGTTTACATTAAGGTTCACTCTTGGTGTTGTACATTCTATGGATTTGGACAAATTTATAATGACATGTATCCACCATTATAGTATCGTACAGAGTAGTTTCACTGTCCTAAAAAATTTCCATGCTCTCCATATTCATCCCTTTCTCCCCACTAATCCCTAGCAACCACTGATCTTTTTACTTTTTTCATATAAATATCATGTAGTTGGAATCATACAGTATGTAACCTTTTCAGACCGATTGACTTAGTAGTGGGCACTTAAGTTTCTTCCATGTTTTTTGATGGCTTGATAGCTCATTTCTTTTATGTGCTAAATATTATTCAGTTGTTTGGATGTACTATAGCTTATTCATTCAGTCACCTCCTAAAGGAAACGCTTCCGAGTTTTGGCAATTTTGAAAAAAGCTGCTATAAACATTCATGTGCACTTTTATGTGTGGACAGAGTTTTCAACTCCTTTGGGTAAATATCAAGGAACACAATTGCTGGATCACATGGTAGGAATATGTTTAGTTTTAGAAGAAACCATGCAACTGTTTTCCAGAGTGGCTGTACTATTCTAATTCCCATCAGCAATAAATGAGAGTTCCTTTTGCTACACATTCTTGTCAACATTTGCTGTTGTCAATGTTTTGGATTTTGGCTATTCTAATAGGTGTATATTGGTACCTCATTGTTGTTTTAACTTGCATTTCCCTGGTGATATATGATGTGGAGCATCTTTTTATATGGTTATTTGCCATCTATATGTATCCTTTGGTGTGGCATTTGTTAAGGTCTTTGGCCCATTTTTTAATAGGGTTGTTTTCTTATTGTTGGGTTTTAGGAGTCCTTTGTATATTTTGAGTAACAGTCCTGTATCATAAATGTCTTCTGCAAATATTTTCTCTTAAACTGTGGCTTGTCTTTTTATTCTCTTGACAGTATCTTTCTCAGAGCAGAATTTTTAAATTTAATGAAGTTCACCTTATCAATTCTTTCTTTCATAGATTATGCTTTTGGTGTTGTATCTAAAATGTCACACAGGCTGAGCCCATGGCGCACTCGGGAGGGTGTGGCGCTGGGAGCGCAGCAGCGCTCCCACCACGGGTTCGGATCCTATATAGGGATGACCGGTGCGCTCACAGCACTCACTGGCTGAGCGTGGTGCGGCCGGTCTCAAAAAGGACAAAAAATAAATAAATAAATAAAATAAAATAAAATAAAATGTCATTGTCAAACCCAAGGTTATCTAGATTTTCTCTTATATTATCTTCTAGGAATTTTATAGTTTTGCATTTTACATTAAGTATGTGATCCATTTTGAGTTAATTTTGTAAAGGGAATAAGATTTGTGTCTAGATCATTTTTTTGCATGTTGATGTTCACTTTTTCCAGCACCATTTGTTAAAAGACTATCTTTTCTCCATTGCATTTCCTTTGTTTTTTTGTCAAAGATCAGTTGACTATATTTATATGGTCTATTTCTGGTCACCTTATTTTGTTCCATTGATCTATGTGCCTATTCTTTTACAATACCACACTGCCTTAATTACTGTAACTTTTTAGTAAGTCTTGAAGTTGGGTAGTGTCTGTGCTTCAACTTTGTTCTTCTCCTTCAATTTTGTATTGGCTATTCTGAGTTTTTTGCTTCTCTATATAAATTTTAGAATCAGTTTGTTGATATTCATAAAATAACTTGCTAGGATTTTGATTGGGATTGCATTTAATTTATAGATCAAGTTGGAAAGAACTGACATCTTGATAACATTGAGCCTTCTTATCTGTGAACATAGAATATCTCTCCATTTATTTAGTTCTTTGATTTCTTTCTTCAGAGTTTTTTAGTTTTCCTCATATTGATCTTACACATATTTTGTTAGATTTATACCTAAGTATTTCAGTTTTGGTGGTGCTAATGTGAATTGTATTATGTTTTTAATTTCAAATTCCAGTTGTTCATTGATGGTATATAGGAAAGTGTTTGGCTTTTGTGTATTAACCTTATATCCTACAACCTTGCTATAATAGTTTATTAGTTACAGCAAGAGTATTTAAAAAAATTTTTTTATTCTTGGCTTTGGTATTGTGCTTGGAAAATTACTCCTCACGACCAAGCCTGTATGTTCTTTTAATATTTTTATAGATTTTGTTATATTCAGATCTTTAGTCAATTTGGAATTTGTTTTGATATAAGGTGTGAGATTTTTTTTGCTAAATGGTATTATATTTTCCCCAAATTGTATTATTTTTTCTAAATGGTGATTCACTTGTCCTAACACCATTTATTGAATTATGAATCCTTTCTCTATTGAATTGAAATGATACATTTCCAAATAATACTAAGTTCTCATTGTACTTTGATTTATTTTTGGACTCTTTCTAATCGATTGAGTCTCTTCCTGTATCAGTACCATACAGTTTTGGTTATTGTACAGTAAGAATATTGTATTTTATTCTTCATTATAATTCTTTAAAATTTTTTGTGTTTTTCTTACACATTGTTTCTTTCAAGTAAACATAAGCATCATTTTATCAAGGGTTTTTTTTTAAAGTTCCATTCTGTTGACAATACATTGTTTTTAAATTGATATTGTTAAGCAATTTACTTTCCAGACATTTTTAAAGTTTTACTGATGTATACTCTATAAATATCTTTAATAAAGTTTTAAATATACAGTACATATGAGTGGTGCTATGTAACATTTTGCCGTTTATACTATTTTTAAAGTTTATATCTTTAAATATGCTAATAATATGAAGGAATAAAAAATACCTTCTATTGTGTAGCAGAACTTCAGATTTTGTTCCAGTTTCAGTTGACTATTTCATGTTTATATCTTTAAATATGCTAATAATATGAAGGAATAAAAAATACCTTCTATTGTGTAGCAAAACTTCAGATTTTGTTCCAGTTTCAGTTGACTATTTCATGGGAGGCTCTCTAGGATCTTTTGCAAAGGGAATGACAGGAAATGTGTTTTATGTTGATTGTTAAATTGTTTCATTTGTTGCGCTTCCTCTAAAAGAAGTTGTATAAGTAGGAGGGGATTGGAGAAATCCTAAGGAGCCAAGAAGGTCTGAAATAGCGGAGATGTTTTTACGGGAAATTTGTTTATATTTTAGAGTCATAAAATTTTCAAGTACTAGATTTTATTATGTGTGATATGATAGTATGAATTGTTGCTAGTTAAGCCAAGGTAAATAAACTCTACAGGCATTAACATTCCCAGGGTGTTTACTCAGAATCCCTCTAAGCATTCTCCACCCTATTCCACCCTCGTTTGACTTCTTAAAGACACAATCATTTTTGTAACTGCCAAAATATCTTGTAATAACATGGGCTTATAAATTGAATAGACAAATATCCATGTTATATTAAATGGCAACTACACAGCAAATCAGTGCATTTTGACCATTTTAACAACTGATTTTATTAACTCAGATTTACTCAATAATCTTTAGTATGGATGTAAAATATACCATTAGGATTTAGTTTGAGCTTATATCAATGTTAAAGACTTTTTAAAATCTATTTTAGGAAAACATTATAAAATAATAGAAAGAACAGTCTTTTGAGTAACCTTGTTTCTGGTCTAGTTCTAACACTTACCAGCTGTATGATTCAGGGCAAAAATCTTACTGAGATTTAGTTTCCTCATCTATAAAATGGGAATGATAATTATGATCTCTGAATTATTTTGACCAGTAAATTAGTTAGCATAGAAAGCACTTAGCTGGGCCGGCCCGGTGGTGCACTGCTACAGTGTGCCGCTTGGGAGCGTGGTGGTGCTCCCGCCAAGGGTTCGGATCCCACATACAGACCGGTTCCCGCTCACTGGCTGAGCGAGGTGTGGGCGCAGCGCCGAGAGTTGCGATCTCGTTGCCGGTCCTGGTCCGGTACGGGCGCGACACTGAGGGTTGCGATCCGTTGCTGGACACAAAAAAAGACAAAAAGACAAAAAAAAAAAAGAAAAAAAGAAAGCACTTAGCATAATATATGACAAATATTATACACTCAATAAATGTCATTTCTACTTTTGAAATTATAGGTAATATCATTAAGCCCTTACTGTATCCCTACATAAGTGCATTACATGAATGTCTCTTTTAATTCTTTCAACAACCTTTTGAGGTTGGTTTAGTCCTACTTTACAAATAAGAAAAGTAGGGGGCTGGCTGGTTAGCTCAGTTGGATACAGCACAGTGCTCATAACGCCAATGTCCAGGGTTCAATCACTTTACCAGCCAGCTGTTTCCCCTGCCCCCACCCTGCCAGAAACAAAAACAAATAGGGAAAGTAAGGATGAGAGAGGTTAACCTGCTCACTGTCATGTAACTAATGAGTAGTGGCAGTCCTGGGACCCAAACCAAAGCCTTTATTCTTAACCACTGTGACACATACCAGTTCTGAGCAACAAAAAAAGGAACAATGTACATGTTAGAGACTCATCAGAACTTGAAAGTTATTGGGAAGGAAAATGGAAGAAAGGAAACCATGAATGAGGATTTCAGTAGAAGAAACTTTAAAAAGCAGTGGTGGTGTGTATCTTGTAGATGTAGAAAAAGAAGAGTTCAGACAAAGGTGACTAATGAGAGATACAGTAAAGGGAAGTGGAATATGTGAGTCATGCAGAGGGGAGGTTTCTTTTTTGCAACGTACACTTGCTTTAAGCACAAGAAAGAATAGATTGCTGAAGAGACTGTCAGAGCTTTAATATTTGAGTCTGGGGAGAATTTTTTCCCATTTGGTTTGCTGTCCATTTATCTTTTTCTTTTCTAGACGATTCCAGGTCATGATATTTCAGATGTTACTTCCTTATTCTCACTCAACTCATATTTTGTGCATATTTTCTGGATTAATATAGATTAGTTTTTAGTCTACCTTTCTTCATATTAGTCTCCATAATTTGTTTACATCTAGTTAGGATACTATTCTCTATTTTAAAACTGAGGTAATAGAAAGTTTTAAATCAGGATGGTAAATTAGAGTAATATTAAAAATAAAGTTCCAATTATTAGGTACAGTATCTTCCTAGAAGTAGTTAGCCTCCTTCAAAATTTTCCTATTAATACTGCTTTCTCTTTTTAAACCATCTTTAATATATTGCTATAAATTTCATTCCTTTTCTTCTGCCAGTCTCTCCCCTCTGTCTCTCTTGGAAGGAAAGAATATAAAGGCAGAAAAGGTTTTTCTCCTCAAAGAGCTCACAATTTAATATCCAATACAATAAGTGCCACAGTAAGAGGAGGAAAACAAATAAAGGAACATTAAATTTTGTGGGATGGAGGACAGAGATCCAGTTAAGTTACAAAAGATATTTGAGCTGATCCTTGCAGACTTGTGACAGAGCTAGGAAAGGCGTTCTAGACAGATCAACAGCCTGAGGCACAGAGTACCCCAGATCATTCAGTGAGTTGCAGCCTAAACAAGAACAGGCCCTCTAGAGAATCTCACTGTGTCTACTGGAGGCAGATACCCATATGATTCAGGGTGATTGTTTCTAAAAGTGGAATTATAGTTCTAACCTGCAGCTGATGGGCAGCTAGTGTCACAATAATTCTAACAAAGAGGCATGAAAAAAATTTCTGCATACTGGAGGCAAGATTGAAGTCTGGCATGGGGAAAAAAGCTACATTGTACACCTGTAGCTCTCCCCTTTGAGGAAACTTACTGTAAGGATCTCCACATGGTGGAAGTTTCTTTCATTCTAGAGATCACACCACTTGCTTATTTCTGGGATTGCTTTGTTATACAGTTATTCACTGATCCTTTTAGTAATAGATTACATTTATTGAACTTGTGCCATTTGCCAGATGCTGGTCCATACTCTGTGTGCCAGCTCATTTAATAACTTTCTTCTCTTACAATTTTACTTTAATGGTTTTGACAACTTCCTTATATGTTGAGTAGATCAAAACTGACACACAGCCACTCTGAGCTGCCAGGTAAGCTGGGAAAGTGAGTAAGTAGCTTTCTTTAGCCTCTGTAATAGAGGCAGGCCACAAGAAAGGAACAGTTAGGAATGAATGAGTCTGTCTGCTACATAAACTTTCTTTTCTCACTTGCCTACTTTGATTATTTCTCTTTTCATTTTTGTTCTTTCTTGTCAATCTAACTTTTTCTCTGTAGAGACAAAAATTCCTTAAAAATTAAGATTCTTCACTGTTATATTTGACATATATATTGAAGTTCGTGAAGAATAAATTATAGCTTAAGTTTTTTACCTTTATTTGTGTAGACTAACATTTATGAAATTTCAGCATTAAAAAGACAATTCCACAGAAAGAATGTTTACATTATGCTCCAGTACATTTAGTTACTGTTTTATTGCTATTATTATTATTATTATTATTATTATTTTAACACTATTTAACATAAACATCGTGTGCTTATAATAACCATATAAGAGGTATAATCTTACATATGCTCCAGTACATTTAGTTACTGTTTTATTGCTATTATTATTATTATTATTATTATTATTATTTTAACACTATTTAACATAAACATCGTGTGCTTATAATAACCATATAAGAGGTATAATCTTACATTGTACATTTTCTTTGTAGCTATTTTAAGACATGAATATTATGAGCCAAATGTGAGTTCTTTATTTTACCTAAATTGAAGCTTCCAGTTGCAGTAAGTTCTTTAAATTTATAAAACAGTAGAATCATCTGATACAAACAACTGGAATAGTTCATTTATTCAATAAATATTTATTAAATTCCTATTATGTGCCTGGGAGTATGGAGAGATCAAAGAGTTGGTAAGGAATGATATTTGAGAATAGGTGGTCTGTATTTGTGAAAATAAAAGCAATTATCAGCCTTAATAAATAACAATAAAATATACATAGATAAACACCCATAAACAATAATAAAATATACACCCATAAATACCCATGAACAACAGTAAAATATATACTCATAGATGAGTAGGTGGATGGATAGACAGGTAGACAGATAACCTACTAAATTAAGACTAATGTTGTGATTAATGGTGTTTCAATATTATGTTGTCTAAAAGTATGTTTACTTTTTTCAAAATTAAGGTTGACAAATTTGCAATGGAATTAGAACAGAGCCGGAATTTGAACAATACCATAGTGCACATTGACATGGATGCTTTCTATGCAGCTGTAGAAATGAGGGACCATCCAGAACTGAAAGATAAACCCATTGCTGTCGGAACAGTGAGTATGTTGGTAAGTAGGTAAAGATTAAAAACAAAAAGGAAATTTCATAACATAGTCAAGTAAGCCTTACTGGTTCATGAACGGGGAAGACTTTATTGAAGTCTACCAGTTTGCTGAGTATTTTTCTGGGTACCTTATATATGCTCAATTACTGAATCTTTTCAACGTACCTTAAGGTACTAGTTTTTATTTCCATTTGACAGAAAAGAAAACAAACTCAGAAAGATGTTTATTAACTCGCCCGAAGTCACAAATCCAGTAAATAGTAGAGTAACATTGTACATTTCCATTGCAAGTTAAACTTTTGTAAGTAACTGTTCTGATTAAGGAGAATTGAAGAAGAAAGAAAAGGAAATGTTACTCTAAAGCAGAGGTTTTCAAACTATGATCTACAGGCCAAATCCAGCCTATAGCCCTTTTCTGTAAATAAATTTGTTCCAACAAAGTCACACCCACTTACTTATTACTATTGTTACACTAAAAGAGCAGAGTTGAGTAACGGCAACAGAGACCGTATGACCTGCAAAGCCTAGGTGATTACTATCTAGACTTTTACAGAATAAGTTTGCCAACTCCAGTTCTAGAGTAGCATATTTAATTATTAATAGTACATTTAGAATGCAATTAAATAGTTTTTCCCATAACTTGGAATCATTGCTTTTCTGATTACTATGTTGCTCTTCCTTTTTGCCACCCTAACCATATAAGGTAAAGACACCAGAATGGCTGTATGTGGTTGAAAATGTGTTGGGAATTAAAAAGTAGCAACTGGAATAGATGGGTTTTAGCATTAAAAAAAAAAAAAAACATACTAGAGAAACAAGTAGAGTTCTTACCTGTTCCTGACTCCTTCCAATGCATTAGATAACCATAAACTTAATTCCTTCTGAGTTATAATTTTATTATAAAAATATAATCTGTTTGTGCTTCATCTCTGCTTCCATGAGTATGCAGACAACTGACAACTCTTTCTAAAACAGTGTTTATTGAAAGGATACTCCCCTTTCCTACAAATCACCAACAAATATTTGAAAAAAATATATTTAATTTTATTAAGAACATCTAAGACTCTATATATCCATACATATGTATGTGTGTATACATAGATACATTCATGCTATTGCCATGTAACCAAAGCTAAACTCACTGCTTTTGAAATCCACAAAATATTTTCTTTATTACAATGTCCCTCCTCCTAAAAATTGGTTATTGCTTCCAAGTTCAAAATGATTGTTTCTTATACTTAAACAAAGATCATACCTTTTGTATGCTGAACTAATAGATTTCCCTCCTAATGAGATTTGAAGCATAATTGTTTTTGTTCTATTAAACTCATAAAAGTGTATCTCCAAACTAATGGGAATGATGATGTTACATGTTTGATTAGTCTGTTATAGGTAGAATTCTTTTTTGGTGAATTTAATAGATTTTTGAAATGTTCTGATTTGGCACTGAGAGTTGGAACTTAGACCCTATAGCAGTTATCTATTACTATATAACATGCCCTTCAGTACTTAGTGGACAACCATTTATTTGTTCATTGTTCTGTGATTTGAGCTGAGTTCACTGAGTATGGCTCAGCTCTACCTGGGGTTGGCTAGGGCTGTTTAACTCAGGCTGGAGGATCCAAGGTAGCCTCATTCACATGTCTAGCACTTCAACTGAGGAAATTGGAATGGCTTCCAGTCTTCAAACTTTCTCCTCTCCATGCAATGCCTTATCATTTAGTAATCTACCCAAGATCTTTACAATGATTGCTGGGTCACAAGAAAGTAAAAGCAGAAGCTGCAGGATTCCTAAGGCCTAGGCTTTAAAACTCACACAGTGTTGCTTCCCTCACATTCTTTTGGTCAAAGCAAGTCACAAGGCAAGTCACTTGGCATGAGGAACTAGAACCCACCCTTTGGTAAGAGTAAATAAAATATTGTGGCTGTGATTTACAACCTACCACAAACCCAAAAGTTAGAGGAATCCATATCTAAAATGCTGTTTCTACTCTACTGTAGATCTTGCTTTCCTCTCAATTCCATTAAATTTATTTATGTTTAAAGCATTGGTTTGTCATCTTTCTAGTGCTATCTGCATTTTCTGTTCTAAAACACTGACCAAGGGAAAGTATAGCTTTGAATACGATCAAGATTTTTTAAATGTCCTTTGAAAACCATTAGTGGAAAATTGATATTATTCTGAAATAATTCCTTCATTTAATAGATTCTTTTTTGCATTTCTTTGTATTTTCACTTGAGATTCCAAACAAGGATTCTATTTGTGATTAAAAATTTTTTTGTAAATGGTACCATATTGACATAGACTGTTGTCAGATATCATCATCAATAGGATTTAATAAGTAATATTCTTCTCCCTCTCATACTTTAGTCCATCTCCTAGTCAAAATATTTTTACCCAAAAAAATATGCAAGCCTTAAGAAATAAAACTTAATTTAAAAAAGTTATTTTAAGTTTTAATCACTTCATTTTGGAGACTTGATTTGGCTGGACATATATTAGACCTTTGATTTTTGTTCTAGATGAGAAATTTCCAAAATCCCAAGTAAAGCAAATTCTAAAAGTATACTGTTATATGATACTATTACTTTCTATACTGTTACTATGTAACATCTATACTATTTGTATTATACTATTACTTTATGTTAAGACTTTTTTTACTTCATACTATTTTCTATAATATTTCTTTTATATAACATCGCTCTCTATCATCCAAACTTTGATATATATTACAAGTATGCCTTACAACCAATGAAATTTAGTTACTGAAAATATGAGAACCTTTTCATTAGCATAGTCTTGCTTATTACTTGGTATAACATTATAAATATAGGAACAGCAGTAGGAGAGAGTCATCGTATCATAATACCATGATAGGATAAAGTCAAAGCTTGGTTCAAGACAGTGGCCTATAAAAGAAATGTCCTTGAATTGAAAATGTACATCAGTAATGTGTTCATATGAATGCACCAATCAAAATGTTCATTTAGGGTTGTGTGTTTTTTTTCCCTTGTGGTCAATTCTCATTTAGTCTACCTCAAATTACCATGCAAGGAGGTTTGGTGTTCGTGCAGCCATGCCAGGATTTATTGCTAAAAGACTCTGCCCACAACTTATTATAGTACCCCCAAACTTTGACAAATACGAAGCTGTGAGTAAAGAGGTAAGTTGATGTCTCATCCCTGTTTATAGCCTTTCACTGGTTTCTTGTCACCTACAGAGTCAAGTCCAAATGCCTTACTTACCACATCAAGATTTTGTCATAGCTTACCTTTTTAATCTCATATACTACTACCTCTTCAGCTTGTATGTTGAATACTGAGCTGCATATAACACTCAGAATACACCGTTCTATTTCCCAATTCTTTGCCTTTCTATGTATTTTTCATCTGTTTAGAAAACTCTTCTCATCTCCCCAAACTTTGAATTGCCTTAATTATAATATAAAATTAAATTTAGCTATTTTTTCTTCATGTGCAATTTATATTTCCTTCTAGAACCACCTTATATTTATAATTTACAGGATCTACTCATTAATTTTAGCCTTTTTTCTGAATAAATTTTTTATCAGTGTTGTTAAATAGTGAAAAAATTCACATTATTTTGATTGGTTGCTTTTTTTGCCCCACAGTCTAGTGAAGATGCTTAGGTGCATTTAATGTCTAAGATGCTAATAATAAAAGAGAAAAGGGGGTAATCCACTACTTAAAAAAGGATCTCTGAAGTATAAAGATTTGATTATTTACTAAAATTGCTATATTAGTCCATTTCTGTTGCTTATAACAAAATATCTGGAACTGTGTAATTTGTAAGAAAATGAAAAATGTTGCTTACAGTTTCAGAGGCTGGGAAGTCCAAAGTCCAGGGAGCACATCTGGTGAGGGTGTTCTTTGGTGGTACCTCTACAACAGTGTAGGGTCTCACATGGCAGAAAATGGCAGAGCACAGAGAGAGAGACTAACCTCATTCACTCTCCTTTTAAAGCCCTCAGAACCACACCCATGACCACCATTATTAATCCATTCACTAGGTGTGGTCCTCAGAATCTAATCACCTCTTCAAGGCCGCCCCTTTCAATCACCATAATAGGATCTCCCACCCTCAACTGTTACAGTGAGGATTTAAGCTTCAATGGGGGGGGGGGGAATCCAACCTACAGTAATGGCCAAACTGTCATATGTGAAAATTGCCATGTTCTCTATTTTTTATGACAGCTGGCCTATCATGCAGTGCTGGAATTTAATTTTTGAACTAAAATTTTAGAGTGCTACATCAAACACTTTTAGACTGCCATAGTAAAATGCAGTGTGTTAAAAAGAGTGCTGTCTGAATGGAAACACTTAAAAAACTATGGCCTAGCACTTATTACCATTTAGTCATGCAGTGATCTTTAAATTCACTCCTCGTATTTGTATTCCACCTCATTTCCCTGGAAATGACACTCCACCCTAAGTTTAAAAACACTTTTTTAATTCTTTCTAAAACAGTCTGTGAAATGTGCTTTGTGCCTACCTCTGAAAAGGTAGGGGCAGAGGGAGAAGCACACTCGCATTTGTGTTTATCTCTTTTATGACCTTCCCAATTAAAAAGAGAGAAGATCCTAACCATAAATATTATAGGCTTTTATTAAGTTTGAAAATCCTACAAAGACTTTGTAAGAAACAATTTTTTAAAAAAATTCTCCTTTAGCTCAGTGAAACTACTGACAGTATGACAATGTGAACTAAATTGTTTTTAGTTCTCTTTAGGCTGGTTATTTACATAAGTTGGAGAAATCTTCAAATTTGAGCAGGACCTAGGTAGTGTATTTGTAGATAACAAATGAGTTCTTATGTGTAAACCAACTATTGCACAAATTCACCACTCACTATAGTTACATTAATATTTATGGCTTGGTTAGAAAGCTTAAGGAAAAGTCATTTTTGTTTTATCCAAAATATTGGAATAACTTTAACTGTTTTTAGAGCTTTGATGCTTAATTTTTACTGGAACATGTCTATTTCAGTTCATATATCAGTATCCTATGTAAAGGAAGTTAGTAAGTACTCAATGTCTCTAGGGAGTACTTCTCATTCAGAATCTTAGTTGGCTGCCAGCTACAGACTTCCCAGAGTTTCATTTTCACTAGAGAGATTCTATTTGAGTATGTTATGAAAATGATTTCCTCTACAAGAACAAAGCTAATTAAGGCACTCTATGAGTAAAACTTGGCCAAGTTTATATCACCATTTTCTAAAATTCCCCTTGACTCAGCTGTTCATAATAATGTTAAGCTAAAAAGCTTTCCTTTTATAAAACAAGAAAAAGTTTTCCGTGATACAGTAACAGCTTTTATTTTTAAAAATTTTTTTTGGTGGCTGGCCTATATCAATATCTTAACCCTTGACCTTGGTATTATAACACTACTCTAACCAGCTAAGCTAACTGACCAGCTCAGTGGACAGCTTTTAAATGCTAAATGGAAACATACCGTAATTCGTCAAGTATGTTTTCTGATGTACATATGATTTTGGCAACCATTCCTTCTAATTGTAGCTAATATATCAATGGTTAAAAAAAAAAAAAGAAACAACTTCATGGTTTCATATAATAAAGGTATATTATATAGAAGGCATTTCTGGATTTTAGCAACTATAATTCTGATCTCTGTATGTATTTTTTTAATCCCAAGATGCAACACCAGACTTTTCCCCATCATTCAATGTTATCATGGCATTACAGTACAGATTTTGTCATCTTTTCCATTCCAAATCCAGATAAATAATAGAGCTTTATTTTCCCATATGGATACATGCAATAATGTGTGTATTGAGTGTTTTATTTTCAGGTTATAATTAATTGAAATGTAACTACTTTCTAAAGTAACACAGTACCTTTATGTAAGATTATTCCTTTTTAAAATGAACAAAAAGGATCATAAAAGATGACAGGGAGTAGAGTCCTATCATTCCCACTTCTACTTTTGACTAGCTACCTAAAAAGTTAACCGTTTTTTTGTGCTTACTGGAATGATGTTGTCTGAGATTTATTTGAATCACTTATTGTATCTAGGTGTAGGTGGCTAAATAGAGATTGCATCAAATAAGTTATTTCATGTTCTTCTACCTTCATGATCTACTTTAATACAAAAGAGAATTTTGACAAATATGTCCTGGTAATAAGTTATTTATTCCTTAAATCCATGAGCTATTGATTGCAGAATCGTTACTGTAATTGGAAAATAAAAATATTAATGTTTCTTATTAGCTATATATGACAGAAGGTTTTGCTGTGGCAGTAAAATTTAAACCTTTTTGCTTCTCTTGGAAGGTTAAGGAAATACTTGCTGATTATGATCTCAATTTTATGGCCATGAGTCTCGATGAAGCCTACTTGAATATAACAAAGCACTTACAGGAAAGACAAAATTGGCCTGAGGACAAAAGAAGGTATTTCATCAAAACGGGAAACTCTGTAGAAAATGGTAAGCAGGTTATTAGAATTATCAAACTAACAAATAAACAAATAACAGCCCTTTGAATTAACTCCATTAACTCATTAGTGTGCATAGGTGGTAGAACTAGATATACCTTTATAAAAATGAAAAATCAGAAACTTAAAATATACTAGTGCAATTATTATATCTCTAGACTTTAAGAGGCTGCAGAGTCCCTGAACAAAATAACTTCATAGGAGTTATTTTCCTAAGATCTAACTAACAAAAGATTAGGATTGCATCAAAGATGAGGAAGTTATCTGTTTAAGATGGCCTTTAGAAATCAGATTAAAAAAAAAAAAAAAAGATTAGTCCTAAATGTATCAAAACACTGAGTGATTTTATTTTTCATTTCCCAAATTTTCTATAATCTGGTTATATTATGACCAATTTCAACTTTCCCAGTGAATGTCTTCTCACTCCTTTCTTTGACTTAAACCTTGTTATGATTCTTTTACATGTAATGAAACAGAAGTTTCATAACTCCAAGGATTTTTTTCAAATGATTTCTCTTTATCACCTACCAAAGCAATGCCAAGAAACATACAGATATTACACATACTGCTTCCAACTATTTGTCAAAAGTGTGATTATGTCGAATGTCTGAGCTGTCCTGAATGACTGAGCAAAATTCACCTGAATGAAAAGGTGACACAGAGGCCCAAGAAACATACAGATATTACACATACTGCTTCCAACTATTTGTCAAAAGTGTGATTATGTTGAATGTCTGAGCTGTCCTGAATGACTGAGCAAAATTCACCTGAATGAAAAGGTGACACAGAGGGGTTTGCTCACAATCCACAGCAACATTTTATATGTATAACTCATTAACTGCTTCAAAGGGGACAGGCTTTGGTGGGCAAACCTGTTTGTAATTTTCCCTGAAGCAAAAATAGTGGATCTGCAATAGCATAAAATTCCAACTCTCTCACATTGTTTGGGGTTCGCGTCATCTGGAGCAATTTTAACGTGGTCATCGAATCACAACTTCATTAGCTTATTTGAAGTCCTAAGGGGTAGGTCTCTCTCTTTTCTTTAATAGAAACATTAAACAATAATCACAATTTCTGGACATAGAGGCTTGGAGCAAAAGGTTTTCCTTCTTTGGTATAACTTTATTGTTTGGGGATGTGGCTCGTAAAACCTGATGCTACTTTGCTTAAAATCTCCCTTTGTTAAGTTCCATACTTTTCTTTCTTTTTTCTTTTTCTTTTCTTTTTTTGGCGGCTGGCCGGTTCTGAACCCTTGGCCTTGGTGTTATCAGCATCATGCTATAATCAAGTAAGCTAACCTGCCAGCCAATTCCATACTTTTCACAAGAGAAGGGGGGAAAAATCATTACATGGCTATGTCAAAGTATCCCCTGAGGGCCTCCTATAACAATTACTTACAGAGTATGTTAAAAAAAAAAAAAATTCTACATTGGGATTAAGGTAAATGTTTTTGTTCTCTACTAATGTTCTTTTCATTTATTATAATATGCCCAAAATCACTATGAGGATGTGAATTTTTAGTATCTGTTGCTTTTAACATACTTAACTGGATAGTGTCCTCTTCATGTATTTTATATTTTTAAGCAGTTGAAGTAGTTTAACTTTTTTTTCTCTTATATAAATCCTTGTGGGCTGGACTTTCAGGCATTTTGATCTTACATTATGCCATGGGAAACTGTCAACTATGTGTGGGAGCTGTGGCAGGTGATTGATATATCTTCCTCTACAATCCAGGACATTTTCTGCTGTTTCTCCTTTTCTAAAATGTGCTTGTCTTTGGAAATGTATAGCTAACTATGGTCTTTATATACAAATAAAATAATAATTGTCACTTTATGTTACTCTGCCATATGTATCTGGATGATAAGTGCCCAGCAATATGAGAAACTGAACTACTATATACTTTTTAGCACTTGCTATCTATGTGGAATGCTTTAATCCTAGTGTTATACTCAGTTATGGGGATTACCTCACTTATGGGGATTATAAAGACATTTCTGTCTGAAAGCAAATAAGAAACTATTTCAACAGTTAGTTACACCACCAGTCCTCACAGAGAAGTAGAATATAGTTCAGAGTGGTGATTGCCACCTTTGTACCCCACGAATATGCATAATCAATACAATAAAAAAAAAAAAAAAGGCAACTGTGCCATTCTGGAGCAGCTCTAGTAACGTTCCAGAAGGCAGCATTGTTTGCTTCTTACTGTAGTGTTCTGCTATTCTAGTAACTCACATTAGGGCAGCAGGGTGGTAAAGACATGCGGTACAAAAGATGGTATAAGGAACTCTGCAGAAAGGGCTTGTGAACACAACAGGAACCTTACTTGGTGTGCAGTTTTTCTATACCTCCCTGTACCTTGACTTCCACCTATCCAGAATGGGAAAAGGGCTCCAGATAGGTATCATTTCAACTGTTCCACACTCTTAATCCCCTCTGAATTGCTTTCCATTTTAAAACTAGAATATGGAAAATGAAGGGAACTGAAGCACATAAATAACAGCTAATGTAAATTTGAAAATAAGACTTACTATGTATGTGGCCTGGAAATTCTGTTTTGGAAAACATTTTCTGTAACCTAATTCATATTACATCTTTAAATTTTGAAACTAATCAGGTGTTTGTCATGTTATTTGCATTATTATTATAAAATTTTTCTAAAAGGCCAAGTTTATTTTTCAAATAATATGCATTCATATGTATCTTGAAACTAGAAATTTAATTTTTGCTTTGCATTTGCCTTAATTTGAAAAAGGTTTATATGTAATAAAGTTATTAAATGGGATCAGAAAGCTCTGTTGTTAATCTTAATTGTTATAACTACAATTAAACTGTATTTCTCCTACATTAAGCCCAGAAAATAGTCTTTAGTGGATTTGTTCATGAAGACATTTTTAGTATCAGTATAGATTTAAGCACATTTTACAGTCCATTTATGAAAAATGCAAATAAAATGAAGTAATAACCTGATTTTGGCGTTTTTACTTTTTCTTTTCTTTCTTTTTTTTTTTTTTGTAGCAGTTGGCCTATATGAGGATCTGAACCCTTGACCTTGGTGTTAAAACACTGTGTTCTAAACAACTGATTTAACAAGCCAGCCTTTACTTTACTGTTTAATAATAATAATTTACAACTAATTGATAATTATAAAAGTTCTTTTCCTTAAACTTGAATGTTGGTTGATGCAATTAGACCTTCAGAATTTGTATATTTAAAGAAGCACAATTTTCAGGGATAATTTCTATTTATTGCAAATATACCCTTAGTAAAAGTGATACTTTATAAACAAGCAAGTCAAAATGAAAATCAACATTTGAAAGAAGAAAATTCAGATTATTTTAACATCTGAAAAGTTTCCTTCATGAATGAAGAATAATTAAGATTTTTTCCTCTAAAAACAAAACTTATTTTTCAGGTATAATTATTCTATATCCTTTAATGCCTTATTACTTATTCCTCAATTCTAATTTAAGAAGTTTCTTTTTATCTCTACAGAAGAATAAAGGGGAAAAAAAGATATCCTTTTTTTAAAAAAGGAAAATGTAATGTGAATTAAACCCTATTTCAATTTAATTTAGGTACAAAAATAAGTAAGTTTAGCATAGGATATCTCCTTTTAAGATATATACTACAGAAATATGCAATATTCTTTTAAAGAAAAACTTGGATACAGTGTTTTCTTTGTTCAACAGTTACAAAATATAAATGATCACATTTCTGATCTCCATTGCTAGAAACACAACTAAACTAGATTTGTTTTGTTTTCAGAAATAATGTAGGGAAACCTAATTTATGAAGTATGTACTTCTTGAAATGAAGATGAGTTACTGTTCCTGTCTATAATTTAGATAAACCAGGAAAGGAAGTTAATAAACTGAGTGAGAATGAACGATCCATCTCTCCACTACTTTTTGAAGACAGTCCTCCTGATTTACATCCCCCAGGAAATCCTTTCCAAGTGAACTTTGAAGAACAAAACAATCTTCAAATGCTCCAAAACTCAGTTGTTTTTGGAACATCAGCTGAGGAAGTGGTAAAGGAAATTCGTTTCAGAATCGAGCAAAAAACAACACTGACAGCCAGTGCAGGTATTTAAAAGGGTATTGATGGCCACTATGGTTATAATTTTTAGACTGGCTAATTCAAGTGTAATATTAGTAGTTTCTTATTATAAATTGTATAGGAACATCTTACTTATCTATTCTTTGATTCAGCTTCTAACATTTTTACCTATTCAGAATAGCTGTGAACCTACAGATAAATTGGAATCAAGCAGACATGACTAGGAGCCCAAAGAAAAAACTATCATAAATCTTGTGTAGCTATCCTTTTTTAAGCACAAAATATATTTTAATTGGTTTTGCATGTGGTACTTGATTATTAGTTTTCCCTTGGAAGACTTCAGTCCTGTTCAAGATTGTATTGCAGGAGAGAACCCAGATGGCCACAAGGTAGGAGACAAAAGAAATACCAACTAGCAATGTAGCAATCTAGTACCATCTGGTAAAAGAAAAAACAGCTTTATATAGTCAGTAATCCATGAGGGCATAACTGTATCTTAGCTTAATAACTGATTTTCATCATGAGGACCCTGAATTATCTTGTAAAAGCTGTATTATGATTAGGTTAATCTTTTCTTTCTATACCAAAGCATAAGAATAAATAATAAATTTTAGGAAGATATGTATAAAAATTGAAATGATCTGTTTAATGTATATATTTGAATATACCTATTTTAAATGATCTTAATCATTAAGACTCTTAGAAATGGTAAAACATCTTTTTGAAAAGTAGTCATTTGCTTCGTTAGTAACAAAAGTGATTAACAGATTTACTTATCATTGTCTTAAATATCTCACAACCCAGAATCTGTTTTTTTTCTTCATATGGATAATATATACAAAAGTCCTTTTCAAAGAGTAAACATCCATCCTAAATTATATTCTGGATCTTTTCTGAGAAGTAGATATAGAACCACTATAAGACAATCCTGCATTACTACTAAAGGTAGTAAGTAAACTAATAACAACACTTAATATTACTCAGCTCAGAAATTACTCTTAGAATTAAAAATATGGAGAATTAAATATTCCTCATTTCTGCTACCACATTAACTAATACAATTTATTTTCCTAAAACCATAGCAAGCCCTGAGAAGATAGATGGTAATTAAATGTTATTTTTAAAGTAGCATTACATATAATTTCAGATTTTTTGCAGTTAACATTTTTTTTCTATTTTGTTATTACATACTTAAAAATCATACATATCAACTTCTTTGAGTCATCAGAGTGTTCTTCTTTTTAGGCATTGCCCCAAATACAATGTTAGCAAAAGTTTGCAGTGATAAGAATAAACCAAATGGACAATACCAAATTCTCCCCAACAGACAAGCTGTGATGGATTTCATTAAGGACTTACCCATTAGAAAGGTGAGATTTCGGGGTCAGGGCCGAGCCCGTGGGGCACTCGGGAGAGTGCAGTGCTGAGAGCGCAGCAGCACTCCCGCCGCGGGTTCGGATCCTATATGGGGATGGCCGGTGCGCTCACTGGCTGAGCACGGTGCAGCCGGTCTCAAAAAGGACAAAAAAAAAAAAAAAAAGTGAGATTTCGTATAAAATTTATCATCTGTATATGCACTCTAAATTCTGAAGAGATATTATTTAGACTGATAGTAATCATTCTTTGCTGAAACGTTTTAAAGCAATAGGCATCAATCAAGAATTATAACAAGTAATTGAATTTGTATTTGAAGAAATCTTTCTATTAAAACCTAAAAGTGAGGTTTAGGAAGCTTATTTGATGGAAATTTTTAAGAAAGTAATAGATGACAGACTTAAGTGAACTCTTGCCAAAGAGAAAGGAAATAAAAAGAATACTTGTAAGAGTTCTTTTAGCTGTAACTTAATACTATATTCATTCTAAAGTCCAGATTGCTACAAGATTAATGGATATGATACTTCAAAGAGATTTAGAATTTTGTTTTTGACAAAAAAATAAGCCAAAAATTCTTACCATCTTTAAAATGGTAAAATTATCCCTTAGGGGTTCCAGAAAAGGTATATTTTATGATTTCTTAGAGCTTCTAAATATTTCTGCATGTATATATGCTTTTTAAAAAATAATAATTGCATCGTACACTGTATGATGTTCTAGGACTTGCTTTTCTCACTCAACGTAATGTGTATAAATGGATTAAAGTTTTCAATGCTGAGAAGAAAGGCTACAGTAAAGTATATAATATGTAATTATTACTGAATAGTATGGTATAGCTGAAATGTAAGGTATAGCTATAAACCAGTGTTTTCCAGCATGTTTCATTAAAAAAGGGTCTGGGTCACATAACGAGTTTATCACCATTGGTGGGTCACTATGTATATTAGTACATTAAAGATTCATAAATCTTACAGTAGAAAGTTCCATTTATATTTATTTATCCCACCATTCCCCAAGTTTATATGATCACAGAACTCCTTTTTAAGGATGCCTTAAAATTCCATAGAACACTAGTTTAGGAAATGTGGCCAAAAAGTAATTAAAGCAGTTTTCTTGCATGACTTGTAAAGATAGTCACATTATTTATACATTTTACTGATTGAAAACATATAATAAGATGATAATCTCAGTGTTTACCTTAATTTAACAATCTGTTAATGATAAATATGGATTTTCTTCTAGGTTTCTGGAATAGGAAAAGTTACAGAGAAAATGTTAAGGGCCCTTGGAATTACTACTTGTACGGAACTATACCAACAAAGGGCATTACTTTCTCTCCTTTTCTCTGAAACATCTTGGCATTATTTCCTTCATATCTCACTGGGTCTGGGTTCAACACACCTGGAAAGGTATCTATACGTATAGTCATACTGCTTTTTCTTTATCATTTGCTGAAATATCAGTTTTAACTATTGAGGTGGAGGCTATAAGACTAACATGTTTTAAAATTGTTTTAGGTTAGTTTAATTCACAGTATAATTTTTGAATTAGAGTCAACAGATTGGATGTGTAAGAAAAGGAAAAGAGGAATAAAGACTCGCTCTTAGGTTGGCTTCAGCGGTTGTGTAGATGGACAACTGGAATGATGGCTACTGTCTTTTCTATCCCTGCCTTATTCTTTGTTCAGAACATAAGAGGAATGCTGGTGGTCAGGTTGTTGAGAAGCGAAAGATGGCTCACATTCCATAATTCACTCTTTAAGCAAGGAGATTTAATGATTCTTTGATGAGCTAACTATATTTCTTTTCTTTTCCAGATTTGTAAATGATTCATTCATTTAATACCTAGTACTTACTTTATGTTAGGCACTGTTCTAGACATTAGGGATGATAGCAGTGAGTAGGACAAAGTCTTGCCTTTGTGGAGTTTACAGACTATTGTGAGAGACAGAAAACAACCAAATAAACAAATAAAAGTAAAGCAGCATGAGGGCATAGAAAATAATTTGGAGGTAAGCATGGGTGTTGGCAGCAATCATTCAGAGGTGGGACTGGGGGAGTTAGCCATGCAAAGGGCTGGGAGAAGAGGGAACAACTATAGGAAAGGCCTGGGTTTTCTGTCCTGTCATTCTTTCACCTAGGTCTTAGAAAGAGATACCTTAGAGCTAGAAGGGAAAACTGTTAGGGGAGGGTGAAAGAAAGGAATAAAAAAAGAATAGAAATCATGGAAATCAATGTTGGATGCTATTTTTACAATTTTGTCATTATCCTGTCAGCCTGCCCTCAAAATAACTCCTTTATATTCTTGTACTTAAACTAAAGGACAACAATAAAATCACTGAAGATGCACATAAAATTGATTAACCAATTAATTAATTAAGGCTTCTAGATCTGACAGAGATTGCAAGGCTTATTGTATTGCTTTTCTCATCTTTTCCTGCTCTTCATTTTCTGTTTTCCTACTCTGCTTTGTTTATCTGTCTCCCTCCACTGGGATGTATGTTTCTTAAGGGCAGGCACTTAGTCTGTTTTGTTCGTTACTGTATCCTCAAGTTCTCGAACAGTGCTTGAGTCATAGCAGGTTTATTAAATATTTGGAAAATAAATAATCTACATGTCATTTTAGCTTTTTGGCTTCAACTACACCTATCAAAGCAGCTGGTATTCAGCCAGTTGGATCAGATTTCCAGTCTTCATCCTATTACTGTGTACCAAATTCTGACTGAGGTTCTATAGAGTGGTATAAATGAATAAAGAGTAGACTATACGAAAGAGAAGTTAATGTACTAGACCAAAAACTAGATAACTGATATTAAATTATTTAAAATTTAATTATATCCTACAGCTCCAAGCTATTACACTACTACCTCTTATTGGTTTTTATAAATCATGGTTTTGATATTCATTTTCTTTGTTTTGTTTTGTTTGTTTGTTACCTGGCCAGTATAGGGATTGAACCCTGGACCTTGGTCTTATCAGCATCATGCTCTGACCAACTGAGCTAACCGGCCAGTCAATATTCAGTCTTTTAATAGAAGCAATTTATAATGTGTACCTATTTTCAAGTTTGTTCTCTTCAAGAGATACAAGCTTGATCCATGATATATGTAATCACATCAGCATCTTATCTGTGTTCTTAGGTGATGGTTTTATTTTTAGATAAAAACCTTCCTATTTTTCGTGGTATATAATGTATTGATATGTTAAATCTCTTGATTGACTAAAAGGAACTCAGTCTTCCTTAGAAAGAAAATAAAGACTTTTTTTTTATTTCAAGGGATGGAGAGAGGAAAAGTATGAGCGTTGAGAGGTAATGTTTTATTTATTGTTAATTGTTCATAATTCATGTTATTTTAAACTGTTTGAATTAATTTTCAGTAAAATATTGCTGAAATAAAATAATTTATTTGCAAAGTACAATAACAGTTTTCAGTAGTTCATACTCCTTAAGAAATACCTCGGGCCGGCCCGGTGGCGCACTGGATAGTGCGCCACTTGGGAAGCGCGGCGGCGCTCCCGCCCGAGGGTTCGGATCCCACATATAGACCGGTTCCCGCTCACTGGC